AACAGAAGCTGCTCTTCATATTAGTGACAAACTTTGGTGTTTTTGATGAGTTACTTTCATTTTTGCTTCTACTTTTCATAATACGTTTCCATTCTCGGCAGGTTTCTAAGGTTCTTATTCTACATATTAAAAAGTTGTTAAACATCTGAGTGGCGCACTACTGCTACTAGTGGTGAGAAAGTGTATTGCACCTTATTCAAAATCAATGCGGTCCCGCGGCCCTCTGCGGCCCAAAGTTAAAAACTGTTGTTCTTTTRAGGACCTCAAGGTGGCGCTCGCGGCCCATAGGTTAAGAATCTCTGGGATAAACTACACAACATAAACTAAAACAGAAGCTACAGGCTGATTTTATCCAGAAGTTGTTCGATAAGAAGTATAAAACCACAGATTCGGTGAATGTCATCTTGTCAGACTAGTTGTTTTACACACAGGTCATGTTATTTATTAAATCAGTTGTTATCTATTCCCTGCAGAACGTCTGCCTGGCCCTGAAACTCTTCCTCATCATGTCGTCCTGGCAGTGCTTCTCCCTCCTCCTCTTCCTGCCCTTCGTCCGAGCAGCTGAGCCCCCGTTATCCTCTGACAACACCACGGACGATCTTCAGGTCGTCACCATCGCGGCCATCTTGCCTCTGACCAACACGGATTACGCCTGGGCGTGGCCTCGAGTCGGGCCGGCGCTGGAGTTGGCCGTCCGCCGCGTGAACGCCGACCCTCACCTGCTACCGGGCCTGAAGCTCAACCTGGTGCACAACAACTCGGAGAACCGTTTGGGCTTCTGCTCAGACTCCATGGCGCCGCTGGTCGCCGTCGACCTGAAGATGTCCTACGACCCTTGGGCCTTCATCGGACCTGGATGCGACTACTCCTCCTCACCGGTCGCTCGCTTCACCAGCCACTGGGATGTGCCCATGGTGACCGCCGGGGCCCGCGCGGTGGGCTTCAAACATTACAAAGCCGTCACCAACACGGGCCCCACGCACATCAAGCTGGGAGAGTTCAGCACGGTGATCCAGGAAACCTTCCGTTGGCAGCGGCAAGTCATGCTCGTCTACACCGACAACAAGGATACGGACGACGACAGGCAGTGCTACTTCGCCGTGGAGGGGGTGTACGAACTGCTGGGCGTGCACAATATATCCACGTACGACTACTCCTTGGAGAGCGAGCCAAACTACAAGATGGTGGTTCAAAGGATCCGCGAGAATGGACGAGGTCAGCAGCCGCCATTTTCAGGGGTTTTTGTTTCACCTTTGTTCTCTTGCCTTCTTTCTTTCTGTGATCAGAAAAGCATTAGGGTCGCAACTAGGGATGCWCCATATTGAGCCACGCAATAAAAAATTACAGCTATTTTTAACAGATGTACATGTTACAAGTATGTTTTTTGACTGTATTTGAGTTATTTTTTATCATTTATTGCTTGCTTTTATCGTGCTGGGGGCCCGGGGCCCATGTTTTCGTCCACCTAGCTTCCATCATATTAGCATTCATGCTAACACTATTTTACCTCTTTTCTCTGCAAATTTGCTCATCTTCCTCGTTTTACGTCAAGATCCTCGTCGTCTTCCTCCACAGCTCGAGAATTCACCGACAATACTTCTCAGAAAAAAACCTCGCCGTTGCTATCCCCAGAAATTTCACAACAAAAATGAAAGATTTAGATTTTGTTTTGACTCAAATCCACCCACGCCCAATCCACTGGCGGGAACAACCCTTCAAAATAAAAGTTGTAACACGCGACCGTTAAGTGCAATGGTTTAGTCTTGAGATAAATTGATTTGTTTGCCTCCTACATCACAGGACCTGCAGTGTGACTATTGCAGTGTTCAAAGGATATATCGTGGAGCTCTTGTTGCCACTGATTTTTCTAACGTTTAATTTTTAATGTTCGTTTTTTTTTCTTTTTTTTTTTTGTTCTGAGATGCCTTCACCACCCTGGTCCAACATTTTCTTTGCTCTCTTTGTATTCTTTCCAAAAATACCAGACGTTCGGAGCTTTGAAACTCTTAGATTTTTTTTCCCATTGACTTCTCTCCATTGGGACCAACCATCCACCGGATTTGCATGAACTCTTGAGGTCCGACACTCCAACTCCTTTTCCTTCGCTGTTTTTAATTCACCTCCACTCCTTCGGTCCTCCTTCTTCTTTCCTCATCCTCCCTGATTCCCTCCCCTGCCCTGATGTCCGTAAATAATAGTTAATTATTATTTTATTTTTCTCCGTACCGGTTAATGACTGACCTCCGCTCTATGTTTTTTTTTTTTTGGTTTGTGCGCATGTTTGTGTGCTTTTTTTGTTTCGTTTTATGAGCGCCAATTTCGGTTTAGGGCCTCAGGAGTGACGGCATTCCTGCATTCTAAGGACATTCCTACATTGTGAGGACATTTTGGTTGGACCTCTAAGCGCACACCTGTAAATAATCAGCACTTTTCACTGCAGAAGAAGAAGTAAACGTGTCCCTTTAATCCTCTTCTGTTGACCTTCATGTTTGTTTAATCTGAAACATACTGCTGCTGTCATGCAGTAAAGTAACTCTGCATGTTAGAGTATCATATACCGTTCCCCCACCTTTTAGTATAATTACAAGAAGTCTGATCATCTGAAACAAATCACGTTTAGAGTTTTACAAACCAATGATGTACTAGATGTTAATCTAATCTTACGTAATTACTCACAATTCATTTTTTTACTGCTAAAAACTTTATGCACAGACAGTATTTGTCTTATCTGCTAAATATAATCTTTTTATGTACCTCAAATGAATAGCTCAGATATTTAAGTTAACATTTTACTGTAGAAAGCTCCTGGAATGACCTCAATTTAGACAAATAATTCTGACCAGATCGACAAGCTAACAGTCCCTACATGGAGTAGATATAAAAGCAAAATTCTGCCACTTTAAGACAAACCTAACTTTACACCTTTTGTGCTGATTCTAGTTTTGGACTACTTTGTGCTAAKATTAGCCTCCTTCAGCTGCTTGTTTTGCTAATAAACGCCCGTTTTTCTGCTTTTCAACTATCTTTCTGCTCTTTTCAGTTATTCTCCAGATTTATTTTTGTGCTTCAGTTAAGTTTTTACGCTTCTTTCAGCAGTTTTCTGCAATTTAAGCTATCTTTTTCCATTTTCAGCTAATGTCACCTTTTTGTAGCCACTTCTCTCAGCTGCTTAATTCAGMAAATATGTGCGCTTTCTGCTTCATTGTGCTATATTCAGCTTTTCAGCTGTGTTTTAGCTATTTTTCTGCTTATTTACCTCCTTTTTCTAATTTGTTACAGATTGCAAATTTTTTGTGCGTCTTTTCTTTCAGCAAAAATCTTTTATTAAAAAGAATTCACACTGCATTTTTGCAGAAAATGCAAGTTCTCTAAGAGTTATTCTTTTATCATTGAGGTGATTTTTAGATGTGGATTTTGCAGATTGTAGCTTCAATGACAGCTTATGGAAACTAAATAGAGAAAGGTTTGAGATGTGAATGAGAGAAATGTTTTATAAAGAATATATATTTTTTAAAAGATCAGACACCCAGCAGGACTAAAACAGACCGGGCACAGTTTGATTTGTGACATCATCACAGACACACTAACTGCTTCTTGTCCTCACACCGGCACCAGCTGTTGCCCGCAGCAGTGTTGGATGTCCTCACAGTAATTACCTCTGAGTGTGTGTTTGTGTTTGTCAGATATAATTCATGACGCGGGGTCAAAATCTGTTTACACAGTTGCATTATGGGGAAGTGTCTTCGATTTGAAATATTGTATATCAATAAACGCTAACGTGAGGACGTTTATATTCAGGTTTGGAGAGGAGAGGAAGTTAGTGGAGGGGTAGTTATGGTTACGATTAGAGTAAGGTTTGCAGAAATAAGAGTAAATCCGTGTAATGTCCTCTGAAGTCATGGAAACATGTGGGCGTGTGTCACAGCTAAAAAATCTCTCAGTCAATCATGTTTTTTTTTCTAAAGTTTTATTAGAAACAGTTGACTGCAGGAAAAACAACATGCAAGCTTCTGGTTTTCACATGTGAAACTTTCTGTCCATGTTATTAAGGCTGCCTTGGGGACTAAATGAATTGGTCTGGGATGGACATATTTTGTATTTTTTTTGTAGGAATCTGAGTGGCACACGGGAGGTTTTTATTTTGAGTCTGCAGCGGAACGTGGTGGAATGGGATGGGCCGACATGTTTTGGGGGGAAAGATGGTTTTTACTTGTTCTCATGCCACATTTGTATCCCATTATCCAATAAAAAAAAGATTTTTTTTTAAAAAGCTGCCTGATGCTTCTAACGCTTTCATTCAGTATGAAAATGATCAATCTAGACCCAGTCTGTGGCCAATTTTTGTATCAGTTTCTTGTGAGCGGAGTTCGCACCTTGGCTGATTCATAACAATCTTTAACGAGTGTTTCCTGTCCTGCCCCGGAGCTCGTTAGTGGAGGTTCTGCGATTATCGCCATGGAAACAGCCGAGCTGAGCGCTGAGGTCATGAGCCTCTGTCAGACAGAGCCCGGCAGGCCTGATCTACAGTCTGACGCCGTCACACTGGACCCAGCAGACTGTTAACACAGAGGAAAACAAAGACACACTGTGACGAACCAAAGACAGATAATTATTACAGTAACTCTTATTTAAAATAGGGCAAAACTACGAATAATAAAGAGACAGAATCAAAAGCACTATAAGCATTTTCCAAACAGGGCAAATGATTGTAAATAAACATTATATTGTGTTAAAAACACTTCTTTGTTTCCCACTCCACAGTGGTGTACCTGTGCTGCTCCCGGGACATCTTGAGGAACCTGATGGTCCAGTTCTGGAAGGAAGGAGTGGAGCTGGACAGCTTTGTCTTCTTCTACATTGATCTTTTCGCAGACAGTGTGGGGGGCGGACGACCCGTCAGGCCCTGGTTCAGAGGAGACCAGGATGACTACGGGGCCAAGCTCGCCTTCAGGGTGAGACGCGGGTCTGATTCTGTTTTTTGGTTTCTTTTTGCTGATGTTAAAGAGGACCTATTATGCAAAATTCACTTTTTAAAGTTTTTTTTTATTCAACTTTGGGTATGTACTTCTTAAAAAAACAGTCCTAGGACCAAAAAAAATGCACCCAGGGGCATATTCACTGTAAGTAAATGTATTTTTAATGTGTATTAATGACAAGTTTTATACTTCATTTTGTCATTTTGTGATGTCACAAGCCGTACGACAACCCGCCGGAACCTGAGTTTCTGAGGTATTTTGACCGCTGCTGCTCCCTGCTCTGGTAACAGCATGCAGAGTGAGCGCAGAGCAGAGGAGGGAGAGAAAAAAAAGAAGCTGGGACTACGACTCTGCCTCTGGGTCTCATATGGTTGTACAACGGAGCTTCTGCTATTATTAGCCATGCTTAACGTAAACGCTGGCTTTGGAGGGCGGAGTTAATGTCAACAGATTTTTGGAGGGCGTTACCAACAGAGCTCATTAACATAAACAGCTCTTCTGAACCGAAGTCAGAGCAGGCAGAACTAGAAAATGGGAAATTTTATTATCTGAGAATTATTTTGTGCATTAAATTGAACGAACATGGTCTGGATAGCCCACAGACATACCATAAAATTTTCTAGGGCCCATAATTGGTCTCCTTTAATTTTTGACGGAAATCCTGATCTCAGCCTTTGAACGACCTCTCCTGACACCTGAATAAAGTCATAAAAGTCCAGATTGTTTCGTTCGTCATCCGTCAATAAAGAAGCCAGTATCTTACTGCGCTGCRGCCGTTAGAATTTTGAAAACGTAACTGACGTAACACCAAAAGGAGAACTCCCTGATCGTCTTTATGCCACTGAAAAATGTGAAACCAACAATTGAGTGGCCAAGTTCTTGTTAAATTATTGTTAATATGGTGAAAAAGCAACAAACACATATGAGTTACTACTGCTTTAAAATACAGTTTTGCATGCCACGCACACAAATAAAGTTGTCATAAAAAACGATGCCACATGGTTGCAAACATTCAGTTTTGTGATGCTGCCAGGAAGAATTTGCCAACTTCCTTGCAATTTTCTTGTGATTTTGCAGAGGGCGTAACCTTACATCAATATACTGTATTAATACAAAGGATAATAATTCAATTATTTCAGGGTAAACTGAAAAAAAAATCTATATTGTCATCATATGCTCAATATGGATCGATGTATTGATTGCAGATTTGTAAACTGAATCAAAATTGTGCCGTGGCAGACTTTGTGATAAAGAAATATCGTATTGTTAAATCATTTAAGTATCGTATCGTGATAAATCTGGTGATTTACCTCCCTGCCTATAATCCTGGCTCTCTGCCTCCTCACAGAGTGTGAAGGTGCTGACCTACTTGGAGCCTCAGAATCCAGAATATTTTGAGTTTGTCGAAACTCTGAAGAGCGAAGCAAAGAAATCGTACAACTTTACCATCAAAGACTCCCTGGTGTGTAGAAATGTTTTTTCTTTTTGTTCCTGACTGATGCGCTCTGTTTTGATATTTCCACCACATAAAATCCCGTGACCCTTTGTGTCTCCGTCAGTACAACCTGATAGCTGCGGGGTTCTACGACGGCATGATGCTGTACTCCCAGGCTCTGAACGAGACGTTGAGCCAGCAGAGGACAGGACCGGGACCGGTGAAGAGGCCCAAAGGAGATGTGGTGACCAAGAAGATGTGGAACAAGACTGTCCCAGGTGATTCCTCCCCGTTTTTTTTTTTAAAGTTTTTTCCTCCCCCTTGTGCCTGTTCTGGATACATTTTGTGGTCACGYTGGAAATGCGCAGCCAGTTTTGGACCCAACAGAGCAGAGCGTTGGATGAGAACAGTCTGCTCTGAAAACGTGAGCTCTTAATCAGAAAACCACAAAGAGCAGAAATATCCATCTCTGCAGGAAACGTCCTGCACTTGACTCAAGTCTTACCAAACAAAACAGACCTCAAATTTTACAAGTAATAATAATAACATAAATCTATTAAATTTAGCTTGGTTAAATTTAACGCCTAAAACTAACTTGTTGACTTTTAAATGTAATTTCTGCACAAACATCTGGATTTTTGTCAGAACTAAGCGTTTTATTTATCGCCCTCTCGACAGTTTTGCTCTGTCTAGACATAATCTGCCCCTAAAGTTGGCAAACCTTCATGTTTCTGTTTGGTCTGTTTTCATTTATTCAATGAGGCTGACTGAGTAACACAAGCAAAATAATTCTTTAGACAACGTAATTCATTTTTTGTTTCTCTTTAGTTTGACAAATGCGATTAAAGGGAATCGGTCCCAGCCCTTGTGTAAATTTAGGCTCAACCCTAAAACATTATGTTAACCCAGAAAAAGTTGTGACAATAATAATTGTTAAATTTGATTTTAATGTTTATGCATCAAGTTTTTGTGTTATTATTAATGTTGTGTATTTTGGTAAAATGGTTCAAGCTGCAGTCTAGAGGCGTCGAAGCTCTGAAAGCCGTTTCTGCGATTCTTGACAGAAAGCAGCTTCTCTCGCTCTGCCGCCAATCAATCATGCTGTCGATTAACCGACGAGCCTATCAGGAGCCCCGGAGCTGGATGAGGTCACCGTGGGAATCTGAGTCTGACAGACGAACACGTTTCTCACGGTTGTGATGTTTGTCAGCGGGGAGATGGCGTGTTAGCGTAAAGCTGCGGTGTAAACTTGTACCAGCTGGCAGAGGGACTGGGAACAGGATGTCTTAGACTCAAACCAGCAACCAGGATGGAGAAGTCTTACCACAACAGATTTAAAGGGAAAATTACACTCTTTTTTTTTTTTTCTGTTGTTTGGTCTCTAACTCATTATACAGGAAAGTTGTGATGATCATGTCACGGTTTTATTTGGAGGACGCATTTGGAGGATTCAGGTTCTGGACTTTGGACCAGGCCTGAAGTTAAATGTTGAAGCTCGTATTGTTAGCACAGGCAGGAAGTCGTCTGTCATTTTTCAGAGCTCCCAACACTTCCAGGAAACGGTTTGAGTGTGAAAACAAAGAGATTTTTTTTTGCTTAATTTTGCTGCTGACAGGGTTGAGACAGGAAACATAGGGTGTGTGTGTTTACAGCTGTGTGTATGTGTGTGTGTGCGTGTGGACTTGGATCAATCACTTTACCTTGTTAAACAAAGTGCAACAAGAAAGAGGAAGTTTGTTACAAGAATAATCACAAAGTTAAATCTGTGTTTCTTGGATACTTGAACAGTTGGCTAACGCACTAGCTCAGTTCTGCAAACGATGTTTTTGTTTTTCTAGACTAAAGGAAAAAAAATTGTATAGGTCCTCTGGACAGGTTCTTCTTTAATGAAACGTTTCGTCTCTCTTCCAAGAGGATTGCGATGTCTCGGTTTCGGATGGAGGACAGTTGGAAACTGGCGTACAGTATATCGTAAGCCCACCCACACAGACCAATATTTGCGTTTTGACTCCCACCACCCACTGGAACACAAGTTAGGAGTGATCAGGACTCTGTACCACAGAGCCGACAGTGTCCCTACAAACCCAGGAGCCAGGCAGAAAGAGAAATCACACACACGACAGGCCCTGGAGCAGTGTGGTTATCCTGACTGGGCTTTCCTGAAAGCAGACAGGAAACACAGACAGGACTCCATGCAACCTTCAGGTGAAAATGAAGACCCCAAACCCAGACCCAAACCAGTGGTTATTCCGTATGTTGCGGGTGTTTCGGAGAAACTGAGACGYTTATTTTCTAAACATGATGTCCCAGTRGCTTTCAAACCCCAAAACACATTACGGCAAARGCTGGTTCACCCCAAAGATCCGGTGCCCCGGCACAAACAGAGCAATGTTGTATATGCTGTTAAGTGCCAGGAGGACTGCGACCAGTTATACATCGGGGAAACAAAGCAGCCACTGTTCAAAAGAATGTCCCAACACAGACGAGCTACATCTAATGGCCAGAACTCTGCAGTTTTCACTCATTTACAGGCCAGCGGTCACTYTTTCAGAGATGAGGATGTTCTCATTCTTGATAGAGAGGAACGTTGGTTTGAGAGGAGTAAAAGAAGCCATTTTTGTGAAGAAAGACCGTCCATCATTAAACAGAGGTTGAGGCCTCCGTTTTCAGTTGTCCCCCTCCTACAGTGCTGCTATTGCCAGTATCACTCCACCCCCTGTTAACAATAGGTGTTAATTAGGTGTCAACGATAGCCATGTGATGTGAGTATCAGTCACATGGAGGCAGGGCTTAAAAGCCTGAATTTTGCCTGAAACTCTCAGACTGAAGAAGTCTCTTGGAGGAGAGACGAAACGTTTCATTAGAGAAGAACCCGTCCAGAAGACCTATACAATTTTTTTTCCTTTTGATTTTTTACCTGGATTACTGAGATGCATCAGGACATTTTTCTAGACTAGTTTCTGACTCTTTTAGGTTCTGAAGTGGTGTCAGAAAATAATTAATGAATTTCTTTAAAGGAAAAAGCAAAATAATGAAATAGGAAATTAGAAAATCAGGATAGAAACAACATAAAGTGCTGGTAGAGCATTTTTATCTTATTTCTTTCCAAAGTTGAACTKCACTGTAGCAGGAGGTTAGGACCCAGAAATGCAGATCAACACAAAGAGCTCAAAAACAAAAACAGACTTTATTCTAACGAGAAAACAAAAGTTTATAAAACTCTGGAATAAACACAGATTGGATTGAGAGAAACCAGACTTGGCATGAAAAAGGGATTTCTGTTTAGTGACAAACCAGTGGTTATATAAGCTGAGGATGACGAGATGAGAAACAGCCAGATGTAATGAGGGTTCAGGTGGAAGTGGGCGTGGCCTGACTGAGGAGCAGGAGCTGAACTCAGGTAGAGTGGCTRAATGACAACACAAATACCAGAACCAAATAACAAATTGGACCAAAAGGAATAAATCTAATCCTAAACCTGACAAATGTATCAAAAACAAAACACAGATACTGACAGTTAACGAAACATTTAAAGGGAACATATCAGGCAAAATCTACTTTTTTATCCATTAAATGCAGTTTGTTGTGTACTTGGAGTCWTTAGCAGTGCGGAAAATTAGAATTTAGTCTCTCCTGGTGCTATCAAACTGCAAAAATGGCCAAACAAAGTGGAAGGGGGTGGGTTTGACTTTAAAGAGACAGTGTCAAAATGAGTTGCTCTGAGACCCACTTTAGAAAAGGACTGAAAGAGGGGCTTGTGGAGCTACAATAGGGAGAAATTCAGACCAAAGCATTGCAGTTCCACTTTATACAGACCTCAACTGTAGAATTTAAAAGTGAAAATAAGAAGGTATTGCAAAAAAAAAAAATACAGCTCAAGACTCAATTGCCTATAAACTAACATTTTAATCTGGAGTTGTGCAGTTCTTTGTATTTGGTTTGTCTATTTCAGGTCGCCACACCCATCATAAATTAATTCCAGTCAAAAGAAAACACAATTGTATTTTTAAAAAATATCTTACACATTTATAGACTCTGTTTCTTTTAATAGATTCCTCCAAACCCTAAACACAGACACACCCAGCAGGTTTGACAGGAAGGACTGTGATAAAACATTTTTAATATTTAAAATAAAGAGTTTTTAATTGTTTCATCCAATTTCCTTCCACAGCAATTCAGTTTAAATATTTTCAGAAATGTTTCCCCTGATCTCATCTTCTGCAGTTTGGCTTCTTGTTTTTAAAGATTTTATCAAGCATTCCTCAGTCCAACAGCCTGAAAACAGCAGATACTATTTGTTGAGTTTGGATCATTTGGCTGAAATCCCTTCTTTTTGTTTCACCAGAAAAACCAAACAAAGAAAGAGAAACTGCTGAGCAAATAGCAAAGACAGACTGYGATCCATCATCGCAGCGGCTCAAACTGACCAAAGTCTACGGACCATAAAAACATCTCCGTCCATCAGACCCACATGTTGATTCAAACTTTAGTAAAATAACTCGACTGTTATCTTAGTTTGTGAAATATTTAAAAGACAAACAGATAAGAACTTTCATCATTCCTGATTCAAACAGCGGAAAAGCACCGAGTCCGCCTGAAACTGTGAGACGTTTGTACTGAGACGTCAGGAGGGAGGACAGTGAGGTTTGTAATACTCAGATGCTGGTGGAGTTGTGGTGGCTTCTTGGATTTTTAAAAGATTTAAAAAAGCACAACTAAATCAGAACAGGATGGGACAAAGACAAAGAGYTGTCCTTGGACGGAGCAGGAAAAGGGAGACCTGAGGTGCACGACCGCGGTCACACAACAAAACTGGACGAGCAGGAGTTTCAAATGAGGCAAAACAGGAAAAGAAAACAAACATCTCAAAACTGCACATCACAAAACAGAAGGAAATGCCAAAAAGTCACAACAAATCTAAAAAAAAAGACAGTGTGTGAGACAAACGTCCACATTACATAGTCGTTCATCACAGGAAGCAGGACTCAGCTGGAGATCGCTGATCTGATCACTGCGTCTTTACCGACGTGTCATGACATTGATCTGTTTATGCTACCATGATACAGAGGGCGGCATAAAATATTCATCAAATAAACAGAAAAAAAGGTAGAAACTTTCACGTATTTTGGTTTTTCTCTCTCTTATACACTAAAAGCCTAACAGTTTTTTCTTTTACATTTATCTTGTAATAAGCAGATTTTACTCAATTAATGGTGCCTAATTCTATGGGGCACAAAGTGTAAATTAAAGATTAAAAAATGCTCACTTTAGCTCAAATCCTACTTCAAAATTATTTAGCTCATTGCTGTTACAGTTTGCTAATTTTTACTAAATGTTAAATCCTAAATTTAAATGTAAACGTTTATTGTAAATGTGGTGGCTTAATGTCAAAGATTATATGTAAGTGTTTTGCAATGGAACACAGCCTTCGCTGCTCTGCAGCTTTTGTTGTGACATCATCATCCTGCGACCAAAGCAACTACTAACGCTGGCTGTGTCCAAAACGACAGGCCGGGTCCTCTGGAGGACCCAGACTCCCCGGTCTCGGCGGGCCGGGTCCTTGGTAGACC